AATTCAGGTTTAGTCAGAGCAACTACTGGGAAAGCTCTATGTCGAAAAAGTGCCGATTAGAACCAGCTAAAGCAAATGACACATTTTGCAACACAATTATTCGTAATCGAAATTGCTGCTGTACAGTAGTCTCCTCATACATTTCTTGTCATCATACTTTATTCCTAGTCGGCGTGGTGTTTCATCGAGCCCAGAAGTTGACGTTTTGGGGCAAAATGTTAATGTGCAATACACATCTGGGAATTCTCGAAACGGCTTAGATCTTGCCAAGTGCTTTTGTTGGGAGAAACGTGAAATTGCTGATCCCTACAGGAAGCGAAACGAATATTAAGACCCCAGTTAGGCTGACTACCAGACGAAGCAGTATCGATTAAAGCATTTGGAAAGATTAGCAGCTGCATCGTTAAATAGTCAGTTTACGAGTTGTAGCGGGACGAAGTATTTCAAATAAGTGCAATGCGTTATATGGGTATAGGTAAGTGTCAGGCTGACAGAATTCTGTTAGGTGTTTAAAGAAAAGTGTATTTTTCAGCCACATATGATCGAAATCTCACCCGATCTACCGCATTCGCTGCGAAGAGTTCAGTCACTTTTGGTTGATATCATACGAACATGCGTTCGGGAACTAAAACAGACGACATCTTCAACAGATGTAAGTTCTAACTATTGCAAATCCGCGTTGTCTTTTTGTGCCCCCATTTATCTCAGAAACTGCTTTCATTTGCTGAGCGGTGAGCTGATTCAGATTTAGAGGGAGTAGCACTGCGCAAATCAGAGTACTTGGTTCAGCTTTCTTCACAAGGATATTTGAATGACATTGAAGCAACATACTAGAGGCTGAACAGTAAATAAGTATTCACCCTTGTTGCAGTGTTAGAGACAAAAATGAGGATCTGAAGTAATAGTTGACTGTTAATTAGTGTTGCTTATTTTATGCAAGTCTATTCCGTTTCACTACATCTAATACACAGTCCGCAACAGTTTTAAACCCGTCATTTTGCGTTATGGTGCTCCTAAGCAGCTCATTGCGCAATTTTTGCATTAATATACTGCACGGCCGATTCATTCCGTAAGGCTTCACCCTGAAACTGACGCTTGGCATCCTAGTAGTAACATAATCAACGGAGTTCTGTTTTGTAACTGAGTATGGAACTGGTGAAGAATCGAATCTCTCGTCTTCACATGCAAGCTACCGCATTACCAACCGCTACACGTTAGAAACAACCTGAGAGCATTTCTGTTGTATTTATTTGCTCCTTATTAGGCAATATACATCTGTATTGGCTTTTTTTTGGCTTTTTGCGGATTTCCGCGACAAGTAAAGCTGCTACCACCAAAAATCTTTATCCTTATCTGCGACGTTTCTGCATATAGTGACAGCACAGGAGTCTGCGACAGAACCGCCAGCAGCAACAACAGTAGCATCCGCCTATTGCTTATGACGTTTAGATTACTGTCGTGATCCAGCAACTGTCTATTTGACAGCCATATATTGTATTAGTTGCATGTTGCTGCCCGATTTGAAATTGTTTGTCAGAATCTGATATGAAGTCCGTAAAAAATGGCTGTTGTTCATCATATATGAAATAGCTGTCCAAATGATCAGTACATTAAAGATTTCGAGTTTCATTAATGTAGGCATTCACAAACAAATGCCAAATTTCCTGAATTTGGCAGCTCTTGTAAAGATTATGGTTCCAAGGCTGGTTTTTTAGGATGCAACTGAGGATGAAAGTGTACAACCATCCGCTGGACTGTTACCTTCTCAGTTGGAAATTCTTTTAAAAGGACGGCAGTTCTCAACAACTGAAAAACAGCAACGCCTATTAGCAGACCTCAAACAACTTCGTGAACTTCTTTACCAGGTAATTTTTGGATTAGTAGAGTATTTTAACCTCTTTTTTTTTTTAAATTTATACTATTCACAAAAAAGGTTTATTTTCACAGCTCTTCCAACCAAAAAGCAACTGGCCCACTTCAACCGTTGGAGATGGTAGCATTAATCGATGCACTTAGAAATTCATTGGAAAAAGTTTATGCAATGTGCAGCACAGGTCAGTGTACTTAGAAGTCTCAAATAGTATTAGAAGGCTTCAGCGCCAAAACCGGAAATTAGAGGGGGTCGAATTTTTTTGGGCTGACTGAGATCAAAGGCTCGTGGGTTTTGTCGAATGCGCGAAATTGCATTTAATAGGTTTATTTCACAGAAAACTCCCTGGGAGACTCGATCTTAACAACCTCGAAATAATGCATTCCGGAATGAAACCGACGAAATATACTCACAGACAAGCGAGGATTTGTTACAGATATCCAGTGTTTAAGAATTAGCAATTCCGCTTATTCTGATCATTAACTCATAAAGACCAGATTCAGAATCAACTTTGTGGAAGTAAATTGTTTAGCACAAAAATCTGGGCATTACGGCAGATGATCTTGGCGAAGGATATAGTCTTTTCCTAGATAAGCCCAATAAATGCAGAGCCCGTGTCATAACCAGTGTCATCAGACTCAGATACCGTTTAAAAAATAAATAGCGGCGCGCACCAGAGCAGCTGGTGCGATCATGCGTCTTGTGCAATTCCGTCCACCGAACGATTGCTTGTCAATGTTTTTCATTGCTTTGCACTTTGGTTTGTGCAAAAATAGTTGAAATGTCTGTTTCCTAAGTTGCGGAATTTCCCACTAAAAATTTCACTCAGTAGTAC